CCAGGCCGGGGAGTACGGGACGCACCGAAGCTGACGCTGTGACCATCGTGATCGGGGAAAGGGGCACAAAGAGGCTTCTGCAAACTGAACAGCTCAGCGCCTCGCCTTCCCTTGCCGCTCCCCTGGCCCAGGCCCATCGGTAGCAAGCCCGAGCTGTCCCAAGCCGCACTTATCTCGGGTCTCCAAGCTCACACCGGCTCGAGTGATGCCACGGAGAGGCCTCGAGATTGTCCCGGTGGCCCAATGCCAAGCGATTGCGAGGGCATTCCGGAGGTCGTTATCGGCGCCATCGACCGTGATATGTCCCGATCCACAGCCCTCATGCACCAAACGCACGGATGCAGTCATAAAACGCAGGCCTTCTCTCCCAAATTCTTGAGCAATAGCCGCAAACAACGCTTTTTGGCAGGCTCATCGCGACACGCACACATGCCGACTCCCCAGCCTGCCAGCTCACCACCTCGCCTTCCCTGCCGCTCTCCTGGCCCAGGCCCATCGATAGCAAGCCCGAGCTGTCCCAAACCGCACTTATCTCGGGTCTCCAAGCTCACACCGGCTCGTGATGCCACGGAGAGGCCTCGAGATTGTCCCGGTGGCCCCATGGTTGCCAAGCGATTGCGAGGGCATTCCGGAGGTCGTTATCGGCGCCATCGACCGTGATATGTCCCGATCCACAGCCCTCATGCACCAAACGCACGGATGCAGTCATAAAACGCAGGCCTTCTCTCCCAAATTCTTGAGCAATAGCCGCAAACAACGCTTTTTGGCAGGCTCATCGCGACACGCACACATGCCGACTCCCCAGCCTGCCAGCTCACCACCTCGCCTTCCCTGCCGCTCTCCTGGCCCAGGCCCATCGATAGCAAGCCCGAGCTGTCCCAAACCGCACTTATCTCGGGTCTCCAAGCTCACACCGGCTCGTGATGCCACGGAGAGGCCTCGAGATTGTCCCGGTGGCCCCATGCCAAGCGATTGCGAGGGCATTCCGGAGGTCGTTATCGGCGCCATCGACCGTGATATGTCCCGATCCACAGCCCTCATGCACCAAACGCACGGATGCAGTCATAAAACGCAGGCCTTCTCTCCCAAATTCTTGAGCAATAGCCGCAAACAACGCTTTTTGGCAGGCTCATCGCGACACGCACACATGCCGACTCCCCAGCCTGCCAGCTCACCACCTCGCCTTCCCTGCCGCTCTCCTGGCCCAGGCCCATCGATAGCAAGCCCGAGCTGTCCCGAGCCGCGCTTATCTCGGGTCTCCAAGCTCACACCGGCTCATAACACCCCACACGAGGCTATTTCATGCCTGTTTTACCCTCAGACAGCGCCGGCACGCACTCCCACTTCACACATGATCAAGCACAGCCCCACCAAAGCACAGCCCTGCTCAGAACGATGAGGACGGATGCTCTCACCGAGTTCCGACACACACTCTGACACTCACTTTTGCAAGTGTTGGCTCCCATGTCCCAAGCAGCAAGCCAAGATGAAGGAGGCTGGAGATATTGGTCTCGCTGAGCTGAAGTGTGCACTAGACCTATATGAGTATCATGGCGTGCTGTGAGCGAATACACGGTGCCGATGGTGGGATGAACTCTCCCAGCAGTTGAGGTCGACACACTCTCGACGCAGGCCGCAGCGTCGACCTTCCATCTACGGGCGGCGGCAGGCTCCCGGTTGCAAACGCACTCGCCTCACCGTCCAAGATGGCGGCCGCGCCCCCGTCCGTGCACCAGTGTGCCTCTCTAGTCCCGCCTGCCACCCAGATACCGAGGGCGGGACGCACTCTTCGACTGGGGCTATTATCTGCCACCGGGAGGGCGGCGGCGGCGGTGTAGGGGCGGCGGCGAGCTCCCGGTTGCAAATACTCGCCTCACAGTCCAAGATGGCGGCTCACACGCCCAGCCGTGCTCTGGTGTGTCGCTGGGGTCACGTCTGCTGCCCGTGTCTCTGTCTTAACCAGATATCGAGAGCGGTGCGACGACAACAATCCCTAACCCTAACCCTAACCCTAACACCCTAACCGCCTAACCCTAGCCCGAAGAACCCAAAGCATATTCACCGAGAGCTCGTGTCGACGGACCGCTGATTCCTCCATTTGGTTTCGGCCCAAACACCGGACCATTCTCTTCGGCTGCACAACGGCTTGAACTCTCTGACCCTGTAACCCTAACCCTATAACCCTACCCAGCCTAACCCTAAGCACCCTAACCCTACCCTAACGACACGGTGCTCCGTAAGAGGTTGTGCGCGTCGCTGCCGACGCATCTCGCGTGTTGGTGTGTTTGTATTTCGGCGGGGGCGGCGCCGCGCGCGCGCATTATAAGATCATTGAGGCAACACACACACGTACACGTCCTTGAGCGCCCGAGGACACGAACCATCCTCCTCGCCCTCCACCTCCTCGCATTGGCCCTCGCCCTCCTCCTCCTCGGCGCCTTCCTCCTCGTCGCCTTCTTCCTCATCATCGTCCTCTTCCTCGTCGTCCTCTTCCTCCTCCTCGTCCCCTTCTCCTCGTCCTCATCTTCAACGCATTGCGACTCCGCATACCGACAAACCAGCTCAGGCTTTCGGCCCTGCTCGTCCAGGCCAAGCCCACGCAGCATCGTTCTGAGCTCGGCGACGCGCCCACGCTTATGTCCACGCTTATGTCTCCTCAAGGGAGCTGCTGCCGCCGGGCAGGCGGGACGCCGCTGGCGGCACTCCCGAGGTCGCGGCGCGCGGCATCCCCAGGCTCGCGAGGTGCAGCGACGGTGCGAGGCCCGTCGCCGCCGCCGCGCAGGCGATCAGCGCGCCGATTGCCGCCATCCCGCGCGCCGCAGGGGGCCCGGGGCGGACGCGGTGCGCCAGCTGTAAGCCGGCCGTCCCCAGCTGTAAGCCGGCTTGTGATTCCTGGTAAAGAACCGGCTCGCTGCTTGTTGAGAACTCGGACGTCCTTCTGCTGACATCATGGCGACCCACTTGTCGGGTCTGACTCCAAGCGCAAGCTGGATGATTCCGAGGAGCCCGAGGCGGCGCGCCAATGCATTCGGGCTGACTGCAGCAAATCGCTTGGTCAATCGCTTGCACCCTGCTGCGGTGCGTCCTATCAGCTCGCTCCGCCAGATTACCCGCCGCGAGCCGCGCTCATACGGCCCATCGATGGGCTACGGCGCCAAGTACGCCGAGGTGGAGAAGCCGGGTGAGGAAGCTCGGCCGCGGCTAGCCGAGATGCGGACCCGGGTGGAGGGCTTCTGCCTGACGCCACGAGAGGTCAAGGCGCACCTCGACCGCGTCGTCATCGCGCAAGACGAGGCGAAGAAGGCGCTCGCCGTCGCAATCTGCAACCACTACAACCACGTGCGCCGCTGCCTGGAGGACGCTACCCTGGCGGACAGGCACCACCTCAAGCCGAATGTGCTCCTGCTCGGCCCCTCTGGCTCCGGCAAGACACACCTGATGAGGGCGGCGGCGGAGCTGCTCGGCGTGCCCTTTGTGCGAGCGGACGCGACTCGCTTCTCGGCGACAGGATACATTGGCGCAGACGCGGAGGAAACTGTGCGCCAGCTGCTGCCTGCTGCGAATGGCGATCTCGCTCTGGCGGAGTTTGGTGTGGTCTACATCGACGAGGTCGACAAACTGGCCCAGGGCCCGGGCGGCGGTGGGCATGAACGGGGCGGCGTGAACACGCGAGAAGTACAGGCGTCGCTGCTAAAGCTCATGGAAGACGGGGTTGTCCCCTTGACACCGGGCCCTGGCAGAGGCGCCGTGCGTGGCCCACCGGCACCGGCGGGCGGCCCATCCGCAAGCCTGCGGACCCGGCACATCCTGTTCGTCTTCTCGGGCGCCTTCTCCTCGTGCGAGTCTCCGCCCGTCAGCAGCGAGGATTTTGTGCGGGCGGGCCTCTGCGCCGAGTTCATAGGGCGCATCCCGGTGCGCGTTGCGCTGCAGCAGCTGACGGACCACGACCTTCTGCGCGTACTGACCGAGGCGAGTCGCTCATATTTGCACGCAGCCTGCTCCTCGATCACTCTCTCCGATTGCGCGTAGGCGCGCGATAACGTCGTCGAGCAGCTGCAGGCCGACTTTGGAGCGTATGGGATTGAGTTGCACCTGACGCGGGGAGCGTTGGAGGTGGTGGCAAGCCGCGCTGCCAGCCAGGGCACCGGCGCGCGAGGTTTGATGACCATCTTGGAGGCCGCGCTGCGCCCTTTTAATTTCCAATTGCCTTCCACGAGCATCACGCGCCTCGAGGTTTGCGGGCCTCCCTCCTCCCGGTCTCTCGCAACCCTGGCCAACGCCGAGCTCGCAACTCCCACCCTGCGACAGGTGGACGACGCCATGATTCGAGAGCCGGAGAAGGCGCTCGCAAAGCTGATGGCGAAGGAACTTTCCATGTGAGCATTTGCTCCCCCGAGAAGCAGCTCCCTCCCTCCTAAAAAAAGCGGGACACGCATGTCCCTCCCTGCCTGCGCAGAAAGACGCTGTCGTTTCGTCTTGTTCATTGCTCAAAGTCTCTCTCTCTGTGTATTGTGTTCGGGACGGTCCACAACAAAGCAGCTCAACCCACACCTCAACCTCGTCGACGGCAGCCTTGGGCTCGCAACGACCGTGCCAGGCATGGTCGGCGTCGAGGCCGGCAACGTCGTTGACAAGGACCTGGTGGAGGTGAGGGAGGCGACCGTGGAGGCCGACGAGGATGCCAGAGCATGATAATGTCGATCGGGCGTCAGGAATATGCGCGCTCCGCAGCCTGTTTGGCGACTCGCTAGCTCCTGGTGCCCGTGCCGGGTGGCCCTCAAGCCTCGGAATGGAAGGGCGGCAGACACCCGCGAGGAGAGGGAAAGGTGCCGCAAGTGGCGTCGCGCGGCGCTCTGCGCCTTCGTTGACGACGGCCCACGCGCCAAGTCACGCGCCGACCTTGGTGGTTACTTCAGTCCGCTCTCCCTCTGTGTAAGGTAAGGTTACTTCAGTCTCTCCCTCTGTGTTAGTGCGAGTGCGCGCCAGTCCCGTGTCCGTGTTGTGCGAGAGAGTTTTGTTGTAAATTTCTCTCCCTCTCTCAATCCCTCACGTTCTGCAGATATTCTCTTCCATGAACGTTAAACTCGGCTCATGTACGCACTGCACCCAAGACCGCAAGAGCATGTTGACCCGTGCGTCTGGGCGCACTAATAGACGGATGGCGCGGCGGCACCCATGCCATGTGGAAAGCGCTAGGGCGAGTTGTGCGTGCGAGGGCAGGATCACGCGTCGTCGGCAGCAGAGATAAGAGCGTTGCATGTGCGGTTAGGCGGCGGGAGCAGGCTCGCCAGCCCCCTTCTCCTCTGCAGGCTCCACCGTCTCCGCCGGCACCACCTTCTCCGCTGGTGCCCTTTCGCGCGCCCACGCCATCTCGAGGGGCTTTGGCGCTGCGACCCCAGGCGGGGCGCCGCTGCGGCGCGGCAGTATCTCGCGTGTCTCTGGCGACGGTGGGTCGGTGTCGAGGTTCTCCCTGCGGACCTTTTCCGCCTGCGCCCGCACCGCCGCGCAGAACGCCTCGCCATCCTTTGGCCCGGCGATGACCGCCGCGAGTCGGCCCGAGCGGGCGGCGTAGCCGTCGACGTGCGCAGCCGCGCCGATGAGCCTGAAGGCCTCCTTCTCGTGGGCAGACTGCTGGACGGTGATGACGAGGTGGTCGGGGCCGTCGGGGCAGCCGCAGCAGCCGCGCGGCGACGCGACGACCGAGATATCCTCAAGCTCCTCAAGACGGATCACTGCCTGCCGGTCGGGGACGTGCACCTATCAGAGGGCAGATTTGGAAAGATCTCGAGGCGAGTACACAGACAGACGCTCGAAACCCCATCAGGAAACTCCTTGTCGGCGCCGCACGGCCCACCGAGGCCGGCGCAGAGCCCGCCCGGCCAGCAGCAGCTCGGCACGTAGACGCCGTCGCTCCTCGCCGCGGGCGCCACGTGCTCGTCCACCTCGAGCAGCAGCGTCCTGTCACGCAGCACGAGGCGGTGCGCCCTCGCGACCTCTCGCTCGTGCGCGGGGAACCGGAGGAGCATGTAGCAGCTGGAGCAGGTCAGCAGGCTGTAGGGCGACCAGCAGCGCAACGAGGCGAGCCACGCGCGCTGATGGGCCGCCACCCGGCGCTGCGCGTCCACCTCAAGCACGCGGTGCTCGCTGTCGGTGGCGTAGTGCATCAGGAGCTGGCCGGCGCTCTGCTGCTCGACGCCGCCGTGCATCGGCGACGCCACTGTCTCCGTCATGAGAGTGGCGAGCGCGTCCGCAGCGCGCTCCGTCGTGGTGGGCACCATCGAGAGGAGGAACTAGTTGACGGCGCGAGAGTCAAGGAACTCCCGGCGCCCCCAAACTCCAGCATCTTCTTTGCGATTCATTTTTTGTGATCCGTGATCTGCCCGGCGGCGGCGGCGCATTTTGCACACATGCACACAGGTCGGACCTTGCTTAAGACAGCATTGTAGATCCCTGGGCGAGGGTGGTGGTCTGGTGGAGAGGGCTGTCCGGCGGCGGACGGAGGACCCACGTCCCGCTTTTCGCGGGCAGGCAGGTTCTCATCCCCCGTGATCCAGGCAGCCCGTTGGAGGTAGGCCGCTCGTCAAGTGCTCCAAGTGCGAGAGGCGGCAGCCTCTGCCCTCGGAGAGGGGGGGGGCGCTCCACCTCTCGGGTGGACAAGCTGGTCCTTTCTAGAAATCCGCGATAACGCGCGGGTGGTGGAAAAGATAGCTCCTGGTGTGGCTCCACAGCAAACCCGCCCGGCGACGCCTCGGCGACGCGCCGACCCCACGACCCGGGCGGCCGCCCTTCTCCGGGTCCGGCCGGGCTCCGCTCAGCGAGCCACAGCGTCTCACTCACAGCACTCAGTGCACGCGCTGGCTTTTCTTGACAGCTGGTGTACCAGGGAAGAGCCTAGTATCTCAGTAAATTATACCAAGGCAGGCCTATGAGATAACGGACTGGTGTCTGGTTTGTCCACCCCTCCCTCCTAGTCGTACGGCTTTACCTGTCGTCGCGCACCCACACGGCTCTCTATCGGTTCCTCGCCCGGTCTGGATAGTACCCCAGTCCCGCGCCCCCGAGCTTGTACACCATCCCCGGCCGCGCGCCACGGAATGTGGGCGTCGGGATAAAGCCCTCGCCACTGTCAGTCGAAGGCTCAGGCTCGCCGCAATCATGGGGAGAGGCTCCATCCTGCAGCTGCGGTATCGTGAGGTCGGGCATGAAGGTGAGGTGCACGACGGACGCACCAGCGAGCAGCGACCCGAACGAAAGGAGGTAGCGGTTGGCCAGCTGCGTGTAGGTTGGCGCGCCGATCCCGGCGGAGGCCGCAGCCTTCGCCGCAGCCCTCTCCTCGGCGGCAAAGGCCTTCGGGCCGGCCGCAGCCCGCGAGACGAGCGTCCGCGACGCAGCGGCGGCGAAGGCCTTCGGACCTGGCGCAGCCCGCGACGCGGCGGCGCGGGGCGCGTGCAGCGCACCTCGGCGCACGACTCCTGACGACATGGGAGCGCGGTCTGTTCTCTTTTTTTTCGCCGCTGCTCACGGCTGCGGCGGGGCGCGAGGGGGGGCGGCGGGTTTGTGGGATGCGCTTGGGGCGAGAGAGATGTGTCATTGGGAGAGCCATAACCAAAAAAATCTACTCTCGTGAGCTGTGAACAGACGCACTTGCCCAAATCCGCGCCATTCGCTCTCACCTGGCAACCCTGTCTGCACGTCTCGCGCGCGCGTGAACAGGGCTCCAGACCCCAAATTACGTGTGAGTGTTAGAGTTGTTTGGTATTGCTAAAAATCTCTCTCAAATCCGCTAGCGGCTAGGTTGGGCGTGCTTTCACAGCCTCACGAGAGTAAAAAAAATCGGGTCGGCCGTATCGTGAGTCGGCGTGGCGCCCATCGGCGTGGCGCCCATCTCTGGGAGGTGCCCGCTCTATTGCGTGGCGCTGCCGCTCCGCACCCTCCCGTTTCCTCGAGCCCGTTTCGCCGTCGAAGGCCTTCGCCACTCCTGAGAGAGAGATTTTAGCAATTCGCCACTCCTGCCGATCCACCGCGATGAGGTGCACTGCGACGATCTCGGTGTTGGCGGCGCTGTCATCTCTCCTGAGCTTCGCCACCGCCGCTCGTGCTCCGCGGCCTGGCGCAGCCCGCGACGCGGCGAGGGCACCTCGCCGCAAGAGCGAGCCGACTCCTGACATCGAGGTCCACTTTTCTTTTTCTCCCCCCTCCCCCCTCACCTGCGGCGGGGCGCGCTCGGGGGCGGCGGGTGTGCGGGATGCCTGCGGCGAGATCTGAAATAAAAAATTATCCGTCGGTTCCCTCGTCGGAATAAAGCCTGTCCACCTACAGTGGGGACACCGTGCGCACGACGGGGCAATCCTAGCGCAGGCCCCGCACGCGGCCCTGCTGCCCTCCCGTCGGCTGAAATCGACCAGGCCCATCGCCGTGGGCCCACCGGCGACTGCGGCGGCCCTAGCACCGGCCGATTGTTTGAGCGATGGCCTGTGCTGCGGCCGTCTCGGACGTTTAAGCGGCGCCAGCCAGCGGCTCGGCCGCGCATCCTTCACACACGCCGCCACGACCGGGATGAGCGGGCCCAGTGTCGAGGTCTGGTGCGAGCTGCATGTGAGGGGCGGCTGTGGCCACAGCAGGTCCACCAGACGGACCTCAAAGCTTGCCGTCGGCGTGCTGTCGTGGCGAGAGCGCGAGACAGCTGCAGAGGAGCCGAGTGCAGTGGCGAGCCAGAGGCTACCTGGGTCACCAAGTGGTAGCCCTTGCCCATTCTGAGCAGGGCTGTGCTTTGGTGGGGTTGTGCTTGAGCGTGTGTGAAGTGGGAGTGCGTGCCGGCGGTGTCTGTGGGTGAAACGGGCGTGTGTGAGGCCGTAAGAGCCATGGTATGAGCCAGAGTGGGCTTCATCACCCAAAATAAGGACGGTTTGGGACAGCTCAGGCTTGATACTGATGGGCCTTGGCCAGGAAAGCGACAGAGAAGGCGAGGTGGTGAGCTGGGAAGCCGCTTTGTCTGCACCTGGACGTGTCGTGATGAACTGCCGAAAAGTACTATTTGCGGCTATTGCTCAAAAGTTCGGGAGACAAGGCCTACCTATTATGACTGCATCCATGCGTCTCTGGTGCATGAGGGCCGCGGGTCGGGACATATCACGGTCGGTGGCGCCGATAATGACCTCCGGAATGCCCTCGCAACCGCTCGGCAAGGGGTCCACCGGAGACAATCTCGAGCCCTCTCCGTGGCATCACGAGCCGGTGTGAGCTTGCAGACCCAAGGTAAGTGCGGTCTGGGACGGCTCAGGCGTGCTACTGATGGGCATGGGCCAGGAGAGCGACAGAGAAGGCGAGGTGGTGAGCTGAGAGGCTGGAGCGTCCGCGTGTGACCTTGTCGCGAAGCACGTGCCACGAAGCGCTATTTCCTGCTCTCAGGTCACCACCACCGCATCTCAGGCGGTCTCCTGGCCTGTGCACCTCGGCCGGAGGCTTGAGCAGTCCCAGACCGCACTTATCTCGGGTCTTCAAGCTCACACCGGCTCGTGATGCTCCGGTGTAGGCGCTCGAGAGCACTCCCGGTGGCCCGTGCCGAGCGATTGTGAGGGCTTTACGGAGGTCATTGTCGGCGCCACCGACCGTGAAATGTCCCGATCCACAGCCCTCATGCACCAGACGCATGGATGCAGTCATAATATGTAGGCCTTCTCTCCAAAGGTTTTGAGCAATAGCCGCAAAAGGCGCTTCTTGGCACTTTTCATCGCGACACGTCCAGGTGCAGACAAAGCGGCTTCCCAGCTCACCACCTCGCCTTCTCTGTCTCTCTCCTGGCCAAGGCCCATCAGTATCAAGCCTGAGCTGTCCCAAACCGTCCTTACTTTGGGTGATGAATCCCACTCTGGCTCATACCACGGCTCTTACGGCCTCACACACGCCCGTTTCACCCACAGACACCGCCGGCACGCACTCCCACTTCACACACGCTCAAGCACAACCCCACCAAAGCACAGCCCTGCTCAGAATGGGCAAGAACCACCACTTGGTGACCCAGGTAGCCTCTGGCTCGCCACTGCACTCGGCTCCTCTGCAGCTGTCTCGCGCTCTCGCCACGACAGCACGCCGACGGCAAGCTTTAAGGTCCGTCTGGTGGACCTGCTGTCGCCACGGCCGCCGCGCACATGCAGCTCACATCAAGGCTCGACACTGGGCCCGCTCATCTCGGTTGTGGCGGCGTGTGTGAAGGATGCGCGGCCGAGCCGCTGGCTGGCGCCGCTTGAACGTCCGAGACGGACGCAGCACAGGCCACGCGTCGCGCCGCCGGCCAAGCCCAGCCTCTCGGCGGACCCCGGCCGTGCCAGAGGCAGCCCAGGTGGCGCGTGGGGCCGCGGCTCGGCGCTGGGAGCGCGCACGGGGCCGTCCTCCTAATAAGGCCGACCACCTGTAACGGCCACACCCCTGTGAAGAGAGCTTGGATTGCCCCTCGACCCGCACGCGAAGTCCCACTTTGGCATGCTCGTGCTCGTCGCCATCTTCGTCTTTTTTGCTCATTCTTCTTGCGCGTCCCAGCGGCCCTAGTGCCACCAGCAAGCAGCCGGCTGCATGGGGCGAGAGGGTGCGTTTGAACGGCCTTTTCAAAGGTGTGAAAAACAGGTGGGAAAAACAGGTGGACAGGCTTTATGTTGCGTGCGGCCACGATCTCACTGTTGGCGGCGCTGTCATCTCTCCTGAGCGTCGCCGCCGCCGCTCATGCTCCGCGGCCGCCCACTCCGTCGAGGATCAAGCTTACGCAGAACTTCCGCGAGGCAGCGGCGCTCTCCGCCAAGCTTGCGGACCCCGCGACGCCGCAGCAGCGCAAAAAGGTGGCCGTCATCGGCGGCGGCCTGTCTGGCCTCGCGTGCGCCAAGTACCTCTCCGACGCCGGCCACACGCCGCTCGTCCTCGAGGCGCGCGACGTGCTCGGCGGCAAGGTGTCCGCATGGCAGGACGCCGACGGCGACATGATCGAGACGGGCCTGCACATCTTTTTTGGCGCGTACCCAAACATGATGAACCTCTTCCAGGAGCTCGGCATCGAGGACCGGCTGCAGTGGAAGGCGCACCGCATGACGTTTGCCATGCCGCAGCTGCCCGGCGAGTTCACCTCGTTCGACTTCCCAGACGGTGTGCCCGCGCCGCTCAACATGGCGGCGGCCATCCTGGGCAACACAGAGATGCTCTCGCTCCTCGACAAGGTGCGGATGGTGCCCGGCCTGCTGCCGATGCTGCTCGAGGGCCAGCCGTTCATCGACGCGCAGGACGAGCTGAGCGTCAAGGAGTTCATGGACAAGTACGGCATGCCGGAGACGGTCAACGAGGAGATCTTCATCGCGATGGCAAAGGCGCTCTACCACACCGCCCACAGTCCTGAACCCACACTGGACTCGGCAGTATGGAGGTATGGCACTAGGCGCTCGACTTCATGGACCCGGACCGCATGTCGATGGCGGTGGTGCTCACCGCGATGAATCGCTTCATCAACGAGGCGGACGGCTCGCAGGCGCGTGCGTGCGTGTGTGTGTGTGTGTGTGTGTGTGTGTGTGTGTGTGTGTGTGTGTGTGTGTGTGTGTGTGTGTGTGTGTGTGTGTGTGTGTGTGTGTGTGTGTGTGTGTGTGTCACCCGCCCGCCGACCCTGCACCCTCCCTGTGTGTGTGTCACCCGCCCGTCACCGACCCGTCACCGACCCGTCACCCTCCCTCCCCTCCCTGATGCACAGACCGCATTCCTCGACGGCGGCCAGCCGGAGCGCCTCTGCGCGCCGGTGGTGGATCACGTCCTCTCCCGCGGCGGCGAGGTGCGGCTCGGCGAGAAGGAGCCATTCATCACGAGTTTGAAGAGCTGGTGATTGCTGATGCGAGGTGCGGCTCGGCGCGCCGCTCGCCGCTATCGAGGTTGGCGACGACGGGCAGGTTGCCTGCCTGCGGCTTGCGGATGGCTCTTCTGTGGAGGCGGACGTGTACGTCTCCGCCGTGCCGGTGGACGTCTTCAAGAAGCTCCTGCCCGCCTCGTGGTCGACGATGCCCTTCTTCCGCCAGGTCTCCCCGCTCCCGCCTCCCCTCCGCCTCCTCCCGCCGCCACCACGTCTCGCGCCGCTACGCGTGCCCCTGCCACCACCGCCCCGTGACGCGGCCCCCTCGTGACCCGTGCCAGACCGAGGAGCTGGTCGGCATCCCGGTGCGGCCTGCTACCGCACCACCCACGGGACCGAACCCACGCTGGACTCGATACCCTGGAGGTGTGGTACTAGGTCATCAACGTGCAGCTCTGGTTCGACAAGAAGCTCCGCTCGGTGGACGGGCTCTGCTTCTCGCGCTCTAATTCATAGATCATTGACACGAGTTCACTGTGAGCTAGGTGGACGGGCTCTGCTTCTCGCGCTCGCCGCTCCTGTCTGTGTACGCCGACATGAGCACTTGTGTCGAAGAGTACGCCGACGCGGACAGGTCGCTCGCCCACGCGCACTGGGCCTTGCACGTTGAATGCCGGGCCAGCTCCTGCCTGTCTCTCGCGAGGGCTAGCTTGGCCCTTGCCCCACCACCGTGTGTGCGTCGCTCACCGCCGGGGCGGGCGCTTGGCGGCGCCGCTGCGCAATGTGGAGAAGTGTACCTGACCTGACCTCACCGGACAGGTCGATGCTCGAGCTTGTCTCTGAGTATTAATTAAGCGCGAGATTATTAATGAATAATCATTGACAGGTCGATGCTCGAGCTCGTCTTTGCGCCTGCGACGCGCGAGGTCGGCGCGGACAGGAACTGGATCGGCGCGTCGGACGCGGAGGTGGTCGCCGCGTGCCTGGGCGAGCTGAGCAGGCTCTTCCCGGGCGAGATTGGCGGCGAGGGCGGCGCCGAGCTGCTCAAGCACGCCGTCGTCCGCACGCCGCGCTCCGTGTACGCCGCCACGCCCGGCCGCAACCGCTACCGGCCGAGCCAGGCGACGTTTCCCAGACACTTCCTCAGAGACCCTTCCCAGACACTTCCTACCGGCCGAGCCAGGCGACGTTTCCCAGACACTTCCCAGAGACCCTTCCCAGACACTTCCTACCGGCCGAGCCAGGCGACGCTTCCTAGACGCTTCCTCAGAGACCCTTCCCAGACACTTCCTACCGGCCGAGCCAGGCGACGCTTCCTAGACGCTTCCTCAGAGACCCTTCCCAGACACTTCCTACCGGCCGAGCCAGGCGACGCCCGTCCCCAACTTTGTGCTCGCGGGCGACTGGACAAGCCAAAAGTTCCTCGGCTCGATGGAGGGGGCGGTGCTGGCGGGCAAGCTCGCGGCCGAGGTCATCGCCGACCGCGCCGCCGGCCGCGCCGCCGCGACGTCGCAGACGCTCAAGCCCGTGCACGAGGAGGTGGTCGCCGCGGCCGAGGGCGCCGCCCCGCGCGAGCCAGTGGGCGTGCGCGGGCGGCACCCAATTGCCTTTGGCGGCGGGCAGCAGGGCTTGGGAGAGACGAAGTTTGAGCACGCGTGACCGCGCGAGGGGGCGGGGGGGCGGGTCTCGCCACACGCCAGCAGGGCCAGGCCCAGGGCGACAGGGGCCAGGGCGCATTTTAATACGTGTACAGCAGGCATGGCTCTCCTCTACACACACAAACACACATACGTCAGTACGGTGTGTTCGGGGTTACACCTCATACAACTGACACTTGAAAGAGACCTGACAGAGGTCTCCAGAGGTGTAGTGCGGGAATTCTGGCAGACCACACACACACACATATAAACACACGGCGTCGCTCGGACTCGCTGTGGGAGAGAGTACTTCCCCAACAAGGAATACAACCGATACCCGCGGCTCACGCAACGTGTGCATTGTCGAGAGCGGCGCGCCGCGTCGCGAGCTGTGCTTTGCACAAGCACAAGCACGGATGGACCGGTGAGGCGGTGCGGCCGGCGGCGGCGGCTGTCCGCCGGCTGGCGAGGCGCCCTCGCGTCACACCGTCTCATTCTCGTGGTGCACGTAGAAGGAGGAGTTGATCGGCTCGTAGTGCCGCCACAGCGCCTCTTCTCCCTCGAAGCGGCACTGCACCTGTTCGATGCCCACGACACAGGTGGGTAGAGAGGTGAAGACCAGTCTGGCCAGCGACGGGACACCGGGCGCTATGGGTGGGACACAAGCGAGGCGAGAGACGGCCACAGAGGAGCGACACACAGACACACAGACTAGACACTCAGCCAGCTGGGCTGCCACACAAGGCCGTGTCTAGGACGCCCACGAGGCTGTCTGGGACGCCCACGAGGCGGGTCTTGGGCGCGCAGGTCTTGGGCGCGGATGAGACCCTGGGAAGTGTGAACTTCTGCGCTGTGTGAGGGTGGTGTGGTGGTGGGTGGGTGAGGGTGGGTGGGGGGACTATGCCCGGGGAACAGCACCTGCCCGTGCGGCGGCAGCGAGACGACCAGCGCGTGCGCCGCCTCCAGCAGGTCGGGCTCAAAGGCCATGTCGCCTTAGCGGAAGGTTCCGAGACGCTTCACGGAAGTGTCCGCGAGGCGCAGGGAGGGGGCGCGGCGCTGGTCGCCGCTCGCGTGGACACGCAGCTCCATCAGCATGCAGTGCAGCGGCGGCAGAACATACTTGAGCGGCGGCGGAGAGATCAGGCCGCACCCGACCTCGGCAGAGGCGTCCGCCGCGCCGGGCTCGGCTGGGGGCACCGCAGCGCACCACCCAACCTGCTCGACCGCGAGCGGGCGGCCGTCGCGCAGCAGCAGCAGCATGTGGCCGCCTCCGAGCAGGCAGAGTGTCTCGGGCCGCAGGTTCTGCAGCAGCAGCTTGCAGCTGAGGCGCGGCGAGGTGCAGCCGTCGAGCGGAGGTAGCAGCCGGCAGGCGGGTTGGTGGTTGATCAGCAGCCACGCGGCGAGGCGGCCCGACTCGCCGAGTGCGTGGTGGACCGCCCGCGGCGAGAGGGCGGCGCAGCACGGCCGCCGCCGCCGCCGGTGGAAGACACGCCACACCTCGCGCCACGAGCGCTCGCCATGAACATACTTGCCGGAGCGCGACCGGCGGCGAGTCGCGAGGCGCCACCGGGTGGTGACGGCGTTCTCCCAAAGCTCCTCCCCGGCAGCGACCGTGCGCCAGGCGTGGCAGACCTGCATCGCCGCCGCGAGCGTCCAGCCGCACCGGGCCTGCGCCAGGCAGAGCGAGAGGACGTCGTCGCCGAGCGAGTCGATGGCGGGGTCCGCCTTGACGCTGGTCGGCTCGAGCGCCGCCTCGAGCGGTGCGGCACGGCGGTCGATGCCGAGGGCTCGCCAGCCAGCTGCGGCCACCGCGGAGGCGTCTTCAGTTGGGAGGTGCATGATTGATCGGCGGCCTTACGGCCTTGATGCAGTGCACCTGCACCGAAAGTGCCGACGTTCAGCACGCACGAGTACGTCTAATTTTTTTCTGCCGCTCCAGACCGAAAGCGTCTTCCACCGAGGAAGACTTGCAGAGCCGCCCTCGCAGATGCCCTCCAACCTCTTGCTCACGAAAATCGGCACAGCGATCCTGCAACTTGCCGCTCGCGTGGGTGCCACCGGCGGCAGCGGACAAACAAAAATCTCTCTCTCTCTCGGCAGCGGCTTCGGCGTGCCCTTCAAGAAAGAAAGAAAGCAGTGGAGCCGTGCAAGCCTGTTGGGAGTGTGAATACCCCACTCGTGTTTATATAGAGAGTGCGTGTCCTGATTCCGTGCGTGTGTGTGTTACTCACTCACTCCCATCCCTTCCTTTGTGTGGTATGTTTTCTTTCTGTCTTTGGCGCACGGGGCTGGAGTTTTTTTTTTGCAGCAGACGCGGAAAAGCACGCTGCCAGATGGTGAGTCCCACCTCCACCCTTGCCGGTCTGCTGTCACCCTTGCCGCGCTCGCTGAGCCGCCACTCCCCGTGGCGCAGGCAGAGTGCAGAGACGTCACCGCTGCGGCGAATCGTCAGCGAGGTGGGGAAGCCACTGCTTGAGGCGGCCGACATCTCGGAGAGTCTCAACCAGATGGAAAACGCCTTCGACACGTGCACGGAGGCCGAGGGTCTTCGCCGGCAGCTCCTTGCAATCGGCTCGCAGGAGGCGGTGGATGCTGCACTGTCGAGGATCCTCTCCGATCCCGTCCTGCATCAGAACCTTTGCCGCTATCACGAGAAGATATACGATAGCTCCAGCTCACGTGATGGTGATGGTATGCGTTGCAGGCTATGTGCCCTCAAGAGAGAAAGAAAAACCTTAGTTGCCCGCCTTCAATGTCGGCGGCGAATCAAGCACACCGCCAACACACCGCCGCGCAAGCCGAGACAGCAAGCATGCCCTTTGTCTTCTTTCTTGCCCTGCTTGCGTCCGTCACGGCGGCGCCTACCACGAAAGGCCGGCGCGCGAACGAACAACCCAAAGTTCGTTTGGTTGTCACCGGCGAGACCAACGTGGCGAGGACCACGCGTGGCGCGCGAGCTTCAAACCGGGTGGCGCAGATGGCTCGGGGCGGAAACGTCACTATGAGCTACAGTTACCCGGCGTCGTACCCCTCGATAATGAGCGTCGCCGCCACCGACAGCAGCGACGCGAAGGCGAGCTTCTCGCAGTTCAACGACGAAGTCGACATCGCAGCGCTTGGCGTCGACGTCGTCTCGACCGTCGGTGCCACCCCTGTGCGAGAAGGCCGCAGCGCCGCCGCTCTCCCACCGCTCTCACGCGATCATTGTCTCCTACCTAGGCCCTCCGAGCGACACTGGGGTCGGCCCCCCGGGCTATGATTCGTACGATGGGACCTCCATGGCCGCGCCGCACGTCTCTGGCCTTGCAATGGTGCTCTGGAACAAGTGAGCCCCCCCCCCCCCCCCGCACGCACGCACGCACGCGGAGGTCGGACCCGAGCCGCCGCGTCAGACACGCTTCGCGGCCACGCAGGTACCCGTCCTATACCAACGCCGAGGACCGCACGGCGCTTGAGGGGGGCGCCGAGGATCTGGGCGAGCCCGGCCGCGACAACGAGTTCGGCCATGGCCTCGCCAACTACCAGGGAGCCGAGATGAGGTTGGGCGCGCCATCGCCGCCGCCGTCGCCACCGGGCACGCCCCCGGCGCCGCCGCCGCCGCCGGGCCTGCCGCCGCCGTCCTTGCCGTCATGCCCGCTC